CACCCCAACCCAGAGTCTTTGTGATAAACCCCCCGAGCGGCAGAGGAGCCACAGAGCTCTAACAAGCAACTGCAATTACAATAATGATAATCTCCCAGGGAAAAATCACTCTTCCCCAAAGGCGTCCCTGCTGGGGGGGGCAAGGAGAACAAACCCGTCCGTCAGTCCCTAGGATTTGCTGCAGAATTCTCATCCCACACACTGGGTCCAAAAGGGACGACACTTATACCTTTTTTTTTGGTGACTGATGTGTAAAGTGGGGGGATGGGGCTGTGGGCAGATAATTATTCATTGTAATTAGCACAAAACTTCCTTATCCGCACCCGAAGGGAGTGGACAACTGCCACGGGCTAGGTGAGGGCATGGGGCAAGCAGCCTCCACTGCATTCCACATTCCTGATCAGGGCCTCGAGGACACAGACCCCTGAATCTTCACTCAGCCCCTGTGACTGCCCTGGCACCAGGTGTTTGTTGGCAGTGTTGAGTGTAGTGTGATTTCTGCTTGTTTTGCACTTCCTGCAACTGACAGAGGGGGAAAATAAATACAAATAAATAAGCTGATGCTCCCTGTCAACCCTCTCTTCCTCATTTTTCATCTTTTCCTAGAAGGAAAGAAACAGGAAAGGGACTTTTCATCAGCCACACAATTGTGGTCTTAAGGCAGTGAGACATAACAGCTGGGAGACAAAGATGTCTATTTTTTGTGAGTTATTATTATGACTATTTATTTATAGCGTGAGGTTACAGAGCACAGAAAGGTTGGCTCAGCATTTGTAAAATATTTTTTAAACCCCTATATTGCTATGCTGGTCTCTGAAATCATGGTAGTTTAACTGCCTGGTAGCAAGATAGTCCCTCAAGAACAGACTTGGCACTTGGAATATCTTCCTGCCCGTAAGATAGAGGTTAACAGAAGCTTCTTGCGTGCTCCAAAGCCATCTGTTCAATAAGGCAACCTCCTGACATCATTAGGAGCTGCTTCCCGAAATGATGTCCTTATGTCATCTTTGACCTGTAGCTGTGGCACACTTTGCAAATCTATGCAGATGACATGGGAGCCCAACATTGCTAATTGCAGGCAGGAAGCCTATCACACCCTTCACCTCCAAATTTGGCATTTCTATTCAGATAGACTCCATCAGCCTTGTGTGTTCTTGCACAGCACCATGTGCACCTTATTAAAATGAATTAGTTCATTATAAGTTCATAAAAGATTAGTTCTTTGTTTTTCATTTATAGCTTTGAAACAGCTTAACAACACAATAAAAGCTTTTTGCACTCTTCTATGCTTTAAAGAGAGCTTTAAAGGTGTTTACATAAGCTGTGGTGGCACACTAGCAGTTGTTTCCTCACCCCATGTTACTCTGCACTTAAAGCCAGCCCTTTGTCTGACACGGAATTGTGACTATAAGCTGCCTGCTTCCAGTTTTTTCACTAAGTGATAATACACTGATTCACAGTTTGGTTATTAACATTGCATCTTTTTAAAATCAGAATATAATCAGGTACTCCGACAGCTGTTCCCTTCTTTTACAGGTATGCAGAAAAAAAAAAAGGAAAATTAATAGATGGTAAAGATGGGAACTGAAGCTGCAACAAGAAAAGTATGTTATACATCATTTATTGGACAAAGAGTAACACCAGAAACATCTCAGCAACAAAGAGGTCAAGAACACAAGGCTGATGCTACTCAAGTGGCCTGCACCAAAGATACTATTGTCAACTCCAATACATCACAGGAGTGAACACTACTGAAGCCCAGACATAGTGGAATATAAGAGCATAGCTCAAAGGCCCAAGTCAGCAGGGATCTTCCAGTGTTTACCCCTGTAATATTCCTAGCACAAAATCAGGAAGGACTTGGTAAGATAATACTAAGCTATGACAATGGGTTCTAGAAGCACTTCAGAAAGTTCCAAAAGAAAAAAAAAAAAAAAGTCTGTGGACTCCAAGAGGTGATGATCTTTAAAAAAAAAAAAAAGGAAATACAAAATAATAAAAAGGAAAAAAGAAAAACAGCAAAGACAGATGTGCAGTTCGTGTGATGTCAACAAAGCTGTAAGGGGTTTATACCACTAAGAATGTTCCCCATCCAAAACTGTCACAATATATTGGAGTATCCAAAGATTCAGCAGTTTGGAGTTTTTTAAATGACAAATGCACGTGTATAGAAGAAGATTGCACGAAGGACCTTACCTGATGCCCTTCCATAACACCCAGCTCTCCACAGGGTTCAAGAGTGGCTTTAGTATCAGAATTGAAAAGACAACAGGCAACAGGAATTAGGCAAAGTACAGCAAATGTAACAAAGGGCAGGGACACAGCTTACAGTAAATGCTCTTTTATTACTTAGCTCATCAAAACATTCCAGTTTTCTCAGCAAGACCTGAATCAGAGCAGTGATACTTGTCTACTGTAACATTTCTATAGGAGTTAGCATGGCAGACTTCATTGCCAGGACCTAATGGTTTGTGTGTTCAAGTCACATGGAAAGTGAGCCATCTTCTTAAATTGCTTCTAGTCACCTTTCATGAGCCAGCTTTGAGCACCACACAAGAAAATGAGACTTTTCTTAGGGAAAGTGACCTTGTATTATTATGTACTCAGAATTCATAATTACAGAGTGCCATAGTCTACTGATAGAACTATTACAGTAGGTTTGGTATTATGTGGTTTATGATAAATATTTGATGAGGTTTGTTTATCAGTATATTTGGTAAGCATTTAGAAATGAGAAATTTTTCATGTTCTGATAGGCTTTGTATAGAAATATTTGTAATTAAGTACCCAAAGCTCTAGAAAATAAAGATTTCAAAGAATATAGGATCTGATTAAGACACACAGTAATGAGAGAGGTATAAGAAAATGCAGTTAAAATATTTAAATTTCAAGTGCAAAAGAAACACCACTATTTCTAAAGACTTTGCAATTCTTTCTCAAAACCATCTCTCTTTCTCTAGTAAAGCTGAAATATCAGCCTTTGAATAGGCAGTGCTGCTATTCAGCTCGTAGGGAAGATACATCTGTTGCACTGGAAGTACAAAGTTGAGAAGAATGCATAATATTTTATTTTTAAACTTACTTACAAAAAGATATTGCACTGATCCATTGTCCTTTTTTCAGTTTAACATGTTACAGAAAAGCCTGTTATTTACAAAGTTAAAAACAGAAGTGCAAAAGTAGACTGAAAGAAATCAGAAAGAATAAAGTTTATTTAAATTGCTAAGTACAGTGTATTACCTGACCATAGCCCACATCCAGTATGATCTAAAATAGATTGCATCACTTATATCTGCAATTTCAGAAATCCTTTCCTTTCTCTGTAGATGCAACTCAGATCTTTTACACTGACCACCAGAAGGCCTACAGAAAATATAAAGGCTGACTGTAGCTTCACTTAACAGCTTCATTCCTCCAGGGAAGCGACACTCCTGTAGGTAAACTGAAACAGCTACGCAGTATTATGCAGGTTTTTGAAAAGTAGTGATGAATCAGGCATGATGGTTTTCATTCTTCCTAAAAACCAAAAGGAAAAGTTTGGTGATATTTCAGGTCTGATTATTCTAAAGCCTGCCAGTCCAAATTACATTAGCACAGCATATGGTGGTTCTGTCTCAGTCTATCTGCCACTGGGACTGTCATGATGCATTTCTGGGGTGTAGGTACGTAGAACAATCATGACCCAGAGATGAAGCAGTGCCTGGGAAAAGAAAAGAAAGAATTAACTTATCAGCACTGCCAAATCACTTAACAGCCATCATAAATTCAAGAGCTCTCAATGAGAGCTAGTAAAACCTACTTTTGCTGAAATATTCTGACTCAGTATTTTTCATATTATTCAGATACTCCTGAAAGAATTCATACTTGCACAGTGAAATCCTGAGTCAGATTCTGAAGAAGCCATTTGCAGAAAATGAAAGATTTTACACAGCCAACAAAATTACAGCAGCCTGGTTTCCCACAGATTTGTGTCCTCTGGCTTCTCTTTGACCTCACGCTACAGTAACTCCAGCTCTTCTCTCTGATGTCCAGCCCCCAGCCAGCACATTATGGGATCTGCCTCGAGTAACTGGTCAGTCACTACTCCTGTGCCAACTGGGTGATACCAGACTGCATCAGACAGCTGAGTTCTGCTTTCCTTACCACAGGCACCAATATGAGGCGTTTTTATGAACTTTTTAGGAATGTTAATTCTCATTCAAATTTGGCTGATGCTATCTAGGTAGAATAGAAGTTGCTGGGGCTGGAACAAGGGATGTAACTGATAGAATATACATAAGCCTCTTTTCCCTTAAGGAACATGAAAAATTTCAAGTTATAATAATCATACTCAAGGTTCAAGCTGAAAAAGGGTAACTGCCACTGACTGCCCAACATACAGCTCCTATGCAACCATTGAAGAGTTTCACTTCAGCAGCAGCTTAGGTGGTACTAGCCTGCAGTGTTTTGGTACAAAGCATTTTATTCATATACTTGTAAGTCAGTCATGAACAGGAAGAGAGAGAAGGGTCAGGAATTAAACAGCCCTGTTCCTTACAGTGAAGAGACAATGGCAGGGGGAAACTGTCACTTCCCTTGTTCATGTATGTCTGTCTGTTTTATATCCTGAACTAGTGACAGCTCTTCTTGGAAACTGTTCAAAAGAATCATTGTGCCTTCTCAAGCGACACTTTTTTTTTTTTCCATTTCAAAGACTCAAAGGCTCCAGTGGAATATTTTCAAGTAGGGCAGACTGAACCCCAACCTTACCACAGATCACTTCAACTGACAGACATCTGCCCTCCAGTGGAAAACGGAGGAATTTAATTTTTGTCAATTGCAAGTCTGACAATCTCACTCAGCACAGATGAGCAATTTCTCCTATTTTAAGTCTAGCAAGAGAAACTTTTCTTGCTAGTTTTTCACCTACTAGAGAAGTGTCATTATTAGCCACTTTCAGTGGTCATTAAAAAATGCTATTAAAAATCAAAATTTTTAATTGAAATTAAAAAAAAGGAGATGTCATCTCTTACACACAGCACATGCAGGTGTGATGGGTTAATAGGTTGTGGGTCAGCAACAGGTCACTACCATTCTGTACTTCAGTACTAAAACTCTGCATTTACAGTCTTTTAAATGGTAGTGACATAAGTAGTTTTAAGACTGCTATACTAAGAATACCTGGGAAAAACTGAAAACTGCCAAGCAGCATGGCTCCAAAAGACTCTAATGTTTAAAGTACTATTTGGTCTGCTTTACAAAAAACACACTGAGTTGTTAATTATGGAGCCTTCTGAACAGCAAACATCTTGCCCCTTAAGAAGTATTATATAAACTGGCTATAGAAACCTTGCATTAAACTTCTTACTATAAAGAAAGCTCACCATGTAAATGATTACAAAGACTCTTGCTATGGGATACCGCCTCAGAAAGATTCCCAGCCGAATGCTGCACAAGCACAAGAGACAAGAAAAAATGCACAAGTTAGGACAGAGCAGTGATCATAGAATCATAGAATCATTTAGGTTGGAAGGGATCTCCAAGATCATCAAGTCCAACTACCAAGCCACCAGGGCTCTAAAGTCCTCTGCCAAAACAGATCAGAATCTGTCAGGGTTGGAAGGAACCACAAGGGTCACCCAGTTCCAACCCCTCTGCCATGAGCAGGGACACCTCCCACTAGACCAGGCTGCCCAGAGCCTCATCCAGCCTGGCCTTAAAGACCCCCAGGGATGGGGCCTCAACCACCTCCCTGGGCAACCCCTTCCAGGGTCTCACCACTCTCATGGGGAAGAACTTCTTCCTCACATCCAGCCTGAATCTGCCCACTTCCAGCTTTGCCCCATTCCCTCTAGTTCTGTTGTTACTTGAGATCCTAAAAAGTCCCTCCCCAGCTTTCTTGTAGGCCCCCCTAAGATATTGGAAGGCCACAATAAGTGATCTCCTGTTCCTCCCATTCTGATCACCACAAACTTACAAACACCAGCTCATGTTATACATGCGGCTTTGTTTCTGACTTGAATTTTACTTCATGTACTCAAGACATTAAAAGGAGTGAGAAAATTCAGAATTCAGACCATAAAACCTTCTACATATGCTAGGTTCAGAATTTGTGGAAAAGAGCTAAACTCAAGAGCTGCACAGGTTTTTTGAAAACTCACAGAAATGCTAGATATTGGTCAATTTTTGTAACTTGAAGAGTAGCCATGAATCGTTCAAAGACTTAAGCAACTAAAACCTTGGATTCCTGTGAAAAAATGGATAGATCACTACCATTCTTATATTTCACTAGATGAAAAAGACAGTTGTTTTACACGTTTACTGCTACAGTGTTACAAAGCACACTGCGTTAGAGGTGTGCTCAGTAATATCAGTTAAAAACCCATGCACTCACTGAGGTATGATATTGCCAAATGTACTTTAGTACTAAAACCACACAATCCTCATACTCTTCACAAAGACATTAAAGCACCATGGAAGCACAAAAGGCTTTCTATTAAAGTATCTTTCTTTCAAAGGGTTAAAAAGCATTAGCTAATTTTGTTTTCTGTGGCTATTTGAAGTTTTGGAGCAGATCTTTGTCGTGAATATTGACAGTTAGCATAACTGCTCAGAAAAGAGATCAAAGCAAGTCTTTTTATCCAGTAGGATAATTGTTTATTAATTCCTTGAACAGATAATCTTTCAAGGTAAGAAGCTGCACCGAGTCATAACCCAGAATCTTGTCATCATTGGGATGCCTAAACTGGGCTAAAAGAATACATATGATACACCTCTAGTTATACACCCTTTCAGTGTTTATCACAGACACAGTCAAACCCTCCAAAAGTGACAAAAGTTGATGATAGAAATGAAAAAGGTTAGGGTTTGGGGATTTTTTTTCTCTAGTTTAGTGATTCCTCATATCAAAATCTACAAGAGTGATGTTTAAATAAATTGCTCTAATTTGCAAAATCCTGAAGTTGCTGATATCATAGGAAAGCACAGGTGGACTAGGTCAATATTCAGTAATTTATACCATACTGTAGCTTCAATACTTTTCACTTTTACCTTCGCTGAACCAATTCAAAACCTAAGGCATGCCAGGTGAAAACTGAGAAGGGACTCCAGCAACTACAAGAGGTATTCCCTACCCCACTCCCACCTAAAGTGATCGATGGTGCTGGCAGCCTTGCGGACCCTCCCGTACATCCCCGCCTCGTCCGCCTCCACCTCGCCGAACAGGACGGGAACGCTGCGCAGACGAGCGCCTGCTGGAGGGGGAAAAGCAAAACACCTCTTCAGTCTAAAACCAGCTACTCTGTTAAGTAAAACAAATCGGTAGTGTAGGACAAAGACACAGAAAAATAATGTAGAATAGTGATTAATCTGATTTGTCAGTGCCATTTGGCTGGGCGCAGAGGAGCGTGTCTGGAGGGCAGGACTCCCAACAAACTTACAATCACATCAAATCTTTCTTCACTTCAGCATATTTTTTAAATGTTAGTTCACTAGATAGACACCTTGATATTCAATTCTATCATGTAATAATAATTCTATGAAGTTAAAAAAAATGATGGGTTTGATATTGCCACAATTTTTCTGTTGCTCTTATTTCTCATACTGTAAAACATGGATTGCATTTCTGATACTAACTTGTAAACAAAATAGAAATTTTTGGAATATACATTTTTACTATGTATCAACTTTATTTATAAAAGATTCTGAGACTGTTACCTTTCTGCAACTAAACTTACTGAAGTTACTTAAAAACAAGCCAAAAGGAAATGTATTTCAAAGCTGCTAGTCTTCCTGTCTTATTTTTTTAAAGGTCTTTTATAAGCAGAGAAACAAAAGCCCAGACTGCAATTTTACACTTCTCAGGAACTGTTCATTGCTTTTTAAGTTACTTACCATATATACAGAATTATAAACTTTGACTCTGAAAAGTAATGTCTCAAACCCATCTCAAATCAACTGCTGAGGTTCTCCTAGAGATACAGGATGATCGCTACACAGTACAGACAAACCAACCTCAGCAGAGCCACCATATCTTAAGCTGCTTTTCAAGAACAACAGAAAGCTAGGAGGAAATTGATTTCAACCAGAACTCTGAGCAACTCTCAAAATGAAGTATCCCATTCTTGCTCACCTCCCAAATCCTTTTTACAAGGCAAGGCTTATGTTCTACTATTGCCATTCAGTTTAAACCCCAAAAGAGAGATTCATTTTTGCACCTGTGACAGGATCTGTAAATATGATTGTCCCAATAGTGCCGTAGTATTGAGAATGAAAGATGAAATCTGCCTGCTGTTGACAAGGTCTCTGGCATCGGATGAATATTTTCAGCATTTTTTTTTTTTCCTTATGAAGACAGACTTTCAAGGAAAGGTATTAGGAAATATAAAAACTTGAACTGCAGAAAGGACAGAGTTTTGAGTATTATGTTTCCTTATTTACCTTCAGCACCATCAATGCCTGCCATATTAATGGAAGGTCCATTTGTACTAGTGCCTTGGATGGCCTTCAGCTGTTGCTCAAGTCGTTCCAGTTGATAGACAAGGGAGTTTTTCTCTGTGCTGAGGCTCTCTAACATGGTCTGCTTCTGAATTAGTGTTTCTGTCAGCTGATGAAGCCGATTTTCTAATTCTGTCTGACTACTACTACTTAGAGCCTTGTTTGTGAGCTAAAAAAAAAAAAGCAAAGGAAAAAAAAAAAGTCAGAAGTTCAAAGACTGACCAACTGACATATTACAAAACTCTCAAAAATCTAAGCCATCCAAGAAATAAGTTACCCCTTTGCAGAAAGGCTATGTGATAGTACCATGAAAATGATCACCAAAGAGCATAATACAGAAGAAAATTTTGACAGTTGCTAAAACAAGACTTTACATGGCAGAATAAGCTCTATGTAAAACTATATTTCTGTTTTACACCTCTAACCACATCAACATTTCAGTATAATCATAAGTTTGATCACAAAAATCAATGCTATGCCTCAAAGCTGAGCTTAAATGGTAGGTGTGACAATAGCACAATATTCCAGTTTGGCTTTTACACTTGCAACTTCACAAAATGAGTACATAAAAAGTTTTCAAGTCAGGAAAGAAAATCTCAGTACAAATGGGAAGAATCTGATGCCATTCCACATGAAAGCTTGAATGAAAGTGGTGAAAACACAGGATATGTTGCAGAAGAATTGAGGGGCACTGAGGCAGAAAACACGATCGTACTAGCAAACAGGAAATGCAAAGACAGCGAATGAAGACATGGATCATGTCATTCAATTTGCAGAAAATAGTTAAAGCAAATGGGAATCACCAGATTAGCCATACGTGCAACAGCTCGTCTATTCGCTAGTCTTGGATCCCTGTCACCTGTAGTACCATACACCACAAAGATGTGGCCT